GACAAATGCAAAAGCATGATAGTTGGTAGAATGCACCACTTGTCAGGAAGCTTACCCTTCAAGTAGGTGCTCACAGAATGAAGCAAACAACAGAAATTAAATATTAAGGTGTTATTCTTGACGAGAGATTTAACTTCACATCCCACATCAAATACATCACAGACAAAACTAAAAAGACAGCCAATGCCCTCATTAATATGGCTAGGAACCCATATATGTTCCTAGGCCCAAGGCCCCCATTAATGAGGAACCTTAATTAATGAGGAATTCCTTGGCCCCATATATGTTCCTCATTAATGAGGAACATATATGGGGGCCTTGGCCCTAACGCTACTAAGCTTATTTACAGGGGAGCAATTCAGCCATCATTCCTCTATGCCATACAGGTCTGGGGCCACGTGGCCACCAAAGTCCATAGCTGTTATCTGTTCAAAGGATTGCAGCTCTCCACATTTGTAAGGCTTATAGGACTGCACCCACTAGTGCCCTTTTGATAATGTCAGGGTTGACCCTTATCGGCTTAGAAATTAATCACATTATTTGGCAGGAAAATCTTGTCACCTTAATCTGGTGAGATTATAGTGACTCGGATGTTGACAAAATGATTAGAGTAGGTAAGATTCCTCCCAGTTTGACCTTGATTGATGATATCAAAAAATTCAACATCAACAAAAATACCCTTCCAACTTACAATTACCACCCCTCTCACCAGCTTGCCTTGATGTTTACTTCAAAGATCCAGGTGATCATCTCATTTTTAGGATTTACACTGATGATTCCAAGATGGGTGATGAAGTGGGTGCTGCTTTTGTAGTTTATTCCGACTTTGGCCATGAGCTTCACAATGCTTGCTTCCATCTAGGTCAGGGGTGGCCAACAGTTTTTGCCCCCAGGCTGAATTGGAAAGAAAACTTTTTTCACGGGCTGAACCAGAGGCTGCCTAGGAAGATTTTGAGGTGGTGCGAGATCTCATTGTGGTGTCAACCCATAGAGACTAAATTATACATAGAGATTACAGATACATTTTTCACATTATCATGCATTATCAATGTTCTACGGTGTACTTAAGAGATTTGTAATGGAGGATTAACTCTAACCAGACAGCAAATTGTTGACCTTTTTTTTTTTTTTTTCTTTAGACATTAGAATTTTCAGCTGATCTATTCTGACTTGAGTAGCTAATATTGAAAGATTAATTGCGGGCCACGTAAATCAATTATGCGGGCCACATCCAGCCCGTAGCCGTATGTTGGCCATGCCTGATCTAGGTACACATTGCTCAATAGCACAGGCAGAAACTTTAGCTATTTATATGAGCTTAATTCACATTAGGCATAGGAAGGACAAAAGACATTACTTACACCAGTGTTCTGCAACTAGTGTGCCGTCACAAGGTGAAAGGTGTGACATAAACTTTTACATATTCTATTAATTTCAAGTTTTATTTATATATTTTCATCACAGTTGTTGTGTTTCTTATGCTTGTATCTCATTCATTAATGAAATAAGATGATGTTAAAGCAATAAACACACGTCGTCCCAGTACTCACTTATTCTTTTGGAGTTATACATTGGACTCACACAGATCTTCAACTTCAAAGGAAAACAAGAACAACACTTACTAAGCATAAACAACATCATACTAAATCTTCCATAGAAAGATTAACCCTTCCATCGTAAAGATGGCGGACGTGGCCTGATTGACATAGTTAATCTCCACTACAAACAAATACAGATATCGCGAGAGTTTTTCTACAGAAAGCAAGAAACTTCTCAGTTACATAAAGCAGTAACTCTAGCAGACTCAAATAATTCACCATTAAATTTACATTCACAACATATGGACACGACACAACATATAAATAGCACACCATTAAGTAATCATGGGTGTGAAAGGCATTCCATGGCAGACATCCCTATGACCTGGCCAGGATTTTGTTGACAAAACTGTGTCAAACAGCTGGTTAACTTGTGGACGCCTCTTTGGGGAAAAGAAAGGATTCATGATTGCCATACAGGATCAGATCGTAAGTACTAAAAACTACAGAAAAGATACAAACTCATACTCAAAGATACAAAAATCACAAATGACACATGCAGAAAATGTCACATCATGCCAGAAACCATACAACACATCACTTCTGGTTGCAAGCTCTTGACACAGGCAGATAATTTACATAGACATAATCAAGTAGCAAATACATCAAGAGCTTGCAAAGAAACACAAATTATTAGACATCCAGAAACCATACTACAAATACAGACAGTATTGGAAAACAACACACACAATGTGCACAGAACTCACCCAGGGAATGAGGCATCTGTGGAGGATGGATAGGGTGCTTATTGTACCTGTCATTCTCTCCTCTACAGGTGTCATACCACACATGCTACACAAAAGCCTGGGAACACTGACACACTTATTTAATTTTTGTTTTGTTATGCCTTTACTATGGTCAGGTGTAGTACACAGCCATTGGTATCAACTGAGTGTAACTCACAAAACTCAACATAATAATACTATAGGTTTATGGCATTACAAAATTCTATTAATAGTATCATATCATATGTTTTTGAAGGGAATAACATTTTGGTGTGCCTTGTTGAGTCATGTCGAGTCATAGGTGTGCTGTGAGTAGAAAAAGGTTGCGGAACACTAACTTACACCATTGCATTTATTGACAGTAGGGTAGCTTTACAGAGGATTGCAAAATCTGATAGCCACTTAAAACTTGTCCAACTCATACACCACATGCTCAGACACTTAGACAACATTAGAATAGATTTTCAATGGGTCTCTGGTCATGCCAGGATTCTCTGCAAAGAGACCACTGACTGCCTTGCCAAATAAGCTGCAAAGTCTTCAGTCACTAGTACTTTCAGTTACATTCCTACCTCATACATCAACAATCATGTCAAGAAGCAAATCTTCTTCTCTGGCAAGACAGTTGGGATCATGACACCACTGGTCCCTGGTAGGCTCACCTACACTTTCATCCACAAGGTTGACACTACTGCAACTCTTCACCACTTTTACCCTAGTTACACCCTCACTCAGCTACTTACAGGACACAGCAACTTTAAGCAATACTTGCATAGATTTAACCTTGGGGACAATCCACAATGTGATTGTGGGATTCAGGAGGACCAAACACCACTTCATATAATTTTTTGCTGCAATAGGTAGATTAGGGATTGTTTAATGAGAGCTGCTATTCTTGAAGGGCATACTGGCCTTGCAACCCACACCAACTTATTCACATGCATACAATGTTCCATCATCTACTTGCATTCATATCACTTAGTGGGGCTCTCGAGAGCACTCACTCTAGGGCATAAATGGCAATTAGCTTTCCCTTGCTTTGTTTCAACTGTCAGTATATAGCTGCCTTTCAACTTTGTATTTTTAATTCTTATTTTGTGTCTTCTTTTTCAGTCTAAATTTGGTTAGTTTAAGTTAGTCGTAGTTGTAAGTTAGATTTGGGACTCTTAGCTTGGTTTCCAGTTAGGTTAAATTAAATTAGGGTTTGTTAGCTTTAGTCGTCTGGTTAGATTCGTTTTAGGTTATGGTAGGTTAGTTTATTTAGTTAGTAAGTTAACGTTAAAAACAACAAAAAAAAAAAAATATATTGAGGTCTTGCTTGTTTGTCTTTTGTCGGTCTGTTTGTCTTGTTTAGTTTGTTGTGTTCATTTGTTTTCATGCTGTCTGTCTAGCTGTTAAGTAGTATTAAGATTAGCATTTTCATTCAGTTTTATTAGTATTAAGTAGATATAAGTCTTCCTATTAACAGCCACTTGGCACTAACTTCAACACTTAGCTATTTGTAGCAGCACTCAATCATTGATATTATCTACACTCAGGTTTTCTTTTAGACCCTTTGGGGGACTATGGCCTTGCAGCCTAAAAACTGTATGCCAACATCAAACATAGATGGTACTGTAGTGTACGCCATTCAGAGAGATCCTACCTTTCTCTACTGTCTATCTCCTCTCTCTCCTTTCCCTCCCCTTTCCCTTACCCTCTTTTCTGTCAGCTAAACACTTCGTGTGTGGCTGAAGTCTTTCTTGTATGTATTTATTTATTTATGTATGTATGTATATCTGCTATTTTTATTTGAAGTTCTGCACATAATTTTAATGGTTTTAATGTAGTATTTTAACACTTATTATTATAATAATTTAAAGTTTTTTATATCCTATAATAGTCATCAAAATGATCATTAAGTGGTAAATGATGAAAAATGCACCTAAAAATTAAGTTTTATTGTGATGAGGGATAGTAAGAACTAATTTGATACTGTTGTACTTTCTGTTCCTTCAGTGTTATGTTATTATTATATGCTTATGATGATATAATGTAATAATGAATACAACATTAATCAACAAAATTGTTGTGTTGAAAATAAAAAAACACATCATAATACATTCATTAATTCAAAAACAGAAGTTTTCAGGTTATGAAAACGATATATTAATAAGAAACATTTTTAGTCTATTTTGGCCAGCTGTTGTTTCAATTTATAATATATCAGTCTATTTATAATATATATTTTAATACCTACAATATAATCTCTTGTTAAATAAAATTAAAATTTGTCAGAAAACATTAATTAATTAATAATATATATTATAGCATTTACTGATTATATTTGATTTATTATTAGTGATTGTAGAAAACTATATTCTATAGCTCATTATATAGAAAAGTAAAGAAATAAAGTAAAAGTGTTGATACAAATCATTTTCATGAAAAATTTATTATTTCAAACTTATTTGTTTGTTTTTATAATGAATTTTTTTGCATTGTTTTATCATGTACATTTTATTCATCTAGAACTTAGAATTAAATAGCTTAATAAATTTATTAAATTCTAGATTTGCTAATTTTGAAAATTGAAAAGTTAGTTTAGCATTCTACAGGATTCAATGATAAGGAAGAAAAATGTAGTAAACATTCATTATGATTACATTAACAATTAACAGAAAGCTAATTTTTACAGAAAAGAAGTTAATTCTCTGAATAAACAAGTTCAACAATTACTTTTTCTTAAAGCAGCTGAAACTGATAAATTAATACAATGTCAGCAAAATCTTTACCAAGAAAAAAAGAAATCATCTCAGTTAAGGAGTGAAGTTTTACAGCTCAAGTTAAAAATTGATGAATTAAAACAATCTGAACGTAAATATGTGTTAAACTTTATTATATTTTATGGTTTTACTGTTTAAAAATTAGTAATAACATATTTCAGAATTATTTATTATATTTATTTAGATGAAACAATAAAGCCAAAGTCAATAACAGAAAAATTATCTGAATTTAAAACAGAGGAGAAGGAATTTACAGATAAAGAGAACATTCATAAAAAATTTCATTCAGATGAATCAGAAAATCAGGAACTGTCTAAAAGTAACATTGTTGAAAAAAACAAGCAATCATTTCCTAAAAATTTGAATGAAGGGATATTAAAAGAAAATCAACAGAAAGCAACTGCTCCTTGCATCAGTATTTCAAGTGACTCTATTAATTCTTGTCCTCAACAATGATAAAAACATATTATATAAAGCTGCTTTGTTATTCTAAAAACAAAAGTCCAATATTAATTGGAATAAAAGTAATATTTTTATAAATATAATTGTGCTTTTGATTGCTAACTATTAACAACAATTGTATATATAAATATAAATTGTTATTTTCATCTATGTATATTTTTGTACGTATATATCTTTCTCAACTGAATAATTTTAGTCTTTTGATAAATATTAATATCATGAGAAGTCAGATTTTTGGATTATTTTTATATTATAGTTTTCAAATACATTTCTCAGCAAAATATAAATTCAAATCTTAAGTTTTTTTGACAGAAAATCAAGTTTTATATTTGTATTTTGCAAAGGAAAATGACAAAAATACAAAAATTGATTTTTTGTGCAATATTTGCAATGGTTTAGAGTACAGCAATTGATACAGACTTTAAAAAAATACTGAGATATAGCATGTTTCAAAATGAGTGTTACTGTAAATTGAACTTTCTTTTAAAGTATTAAACATACAATTGATTTATTGTTTTAAGTAATAATAGCGAGGTTGCGGCCGAAGTTTTCATCTCTAAAATGCGAATGTCAAACATCAAGCTCTGCTTACAAGATAGCAGCGCTTGACATTTGACGTTCATGTTTTACAGATGAAATTTTGGCCGCAACCTCGCAACCTTTATAATTCATTAATTTTCAAAATATTCACAGTAGCAATTCATTTGGAAGACAGAATTCTCAGGAAATTTTATAGCTTTATGTGGAAAATTGTTGAATCTCTGACAACTTTATGGAATTTTTGAACTTTTTAATAAATTAAAATTGTTATATGCCTCTCAACTTTCTGTAAAAATAAAAAATTGAGAATAAAATTCATAGAGACCATTCAGAGAGATCCTACCTTTCTCTACTGTCTATCTCCTCTCTCTCCTTTCCCTCCCCTTTCCCTTACCCTCTTTTCTGTCAGCTAAACACTTCGTGTGTGGCTGAAGTCTTTCTTGTATGTATTTATTTATTTATGTATGTATGTATATCTGCTATTTTTATTTGNGTGAAGTGAAAAAATGCACTTGCTGTGTAAACACTATCTGTTGTGCACTATGTGTAATAGAATTAATAATAATAATATAAAATTATGAAATTTTATAGACAAAAAAAAATTGTTATGCCTCTCAACTTTCTGTAAAAATAAAAAATTGAGAATAAAATTCATAGAGAAACTATAATTATTATTGTCATTGATTTAATAATTATAGTATTATTTGATTATACAGTCCTTGTCATTATTTAAGCAAAGGATTGTAGAATATTGCAAACTTTGTAAGAAATATTTCACATTTTTCAAAATCTTGAAAAACATTTTAAATATCTCAGAAATTGCAAAACTCTCAGAACTATTTCAAAAATTTTTGGAAGGATTGCACTATTATCAGAAGTGCTGGAAGAATTATGGAAACTTAATGGAAACATTTCAACTTATGTGCTATTTGTTGTAATTTAATGGAGGATGATTGTGGATGTTAATGAAAATATTTAAAAATTTGAAAACCATGTTTTAGCAACTTGCAGTTTCTAATTTTTTTAAATTACAATTTTTCAATGTGTTACACAAACTGGTGAAATTGTTGTAAAATAAAATTGGAATAAATTAGGATAAAGTAAAATTACAAAAAAATAACAGTGATTTTACATTTTAATGAGACTGATACTTTCTCTGAAACTAGGACAAGATGACAAAGCAATTGGATACATGAAAATGGAAGATGTTGCTACTCCAGCAAGTGGAGCATGGAATGGAAAAGTTTTTTGGCAGCAGAAGTGTGTTTGCAATATCACACTAGTGATATTGCAAACACACATGTCCTGCATGGAAATATGGAATGTTCTGCTAAGATCTTGCACTTTTATCTATATAAAATACAATCAGGAATGATTTCTGATAATGATAAGTGGAAAAACATTTGCCATTGATCAGTTGATGATACATTGGACATGACAAATTCTGTATGATCATTTTCATTTTCTCTTGTGAAAAAATGTTACAGCACAGAGAATTGCACATTTAAGCCAATTCATGGCGATGCATCATCTTGCATACAGATTGCTGTGTTCAGACAATTTTCTCTGTTGCAGTGTTGGAATGACAAACTATTGAAGCATATCTCCAAATAAACTGGAATTAACAGAAACATGTTACTGGACTAGATGCAAAGTTTTCAAAAAGATAAGAACCAATGATAAAGGTTATTGTGAAACTATACCACACTGTTATTTTTGATGAGAGTGATGAAATTTTTGTCACATTAAATATGACAGTTGAGTGTTTACAGTGATTAATCAACAGGTGTGTGACTGTAGTTTACCTGATTTCCTTGACTCCTCCCTAATTGTAGCCAGTAGTGGCTACTGTTAAGGAGCTACTATTTGCTACCATTAGGGAGGGGTCAAGGAAATCAGGGAAACTTAGAGACTCGAATAAACCACATCAATGTAACGTATGACGGGAGAAATCATATCAAAAAAGCATTGAAGTTTTAGCATGAGCTGACTTTTCTCAATTTCTGGGTTACAAGCACAATCCAACTACAATGCTTATTGGATGTTGCAACATGCATCTCATTCTTTTTTTCTTTACTTTTTATTATTTTAATTCCAATTTTTCAAGAGAATTTGTGAGGCAATACCCCACACCAACTTTGAGAATTCTAAATAGTAACTCTTATACAATTAATAGACATCACATTTCAGAACTTTTAACACACAATTTTTCAACAAGTTTTGGGATTCGATGCACAGTTAATTGTTCATAAAACATATAAAGGACAGACTCCAAATTTTCTTTAGTAAGAGTTGACTCGAGTCTCATTTTAAGCATTTTTAGTTTAAAAAACGATGTCTCACATACAACTTAACGAATGGAGTCAATAATTAAGGATAATGATTCTCAAGGCTTTTGCTTATTGTGCGATGGCATTCACACATTTCTCAAGCTGTAGATGGTAGCTGTTTCAAGTAGTCACTAAATGCCACAGATTAAAGGTATTCAAGATTCTGATAAGTTCCCTATTTTCCAGCAAACCATTTTTCTGTACTTAATACATTATACATTATATTGTTAGAACTTAGTATTGGAACTCCTCCAATAAATTTGTGGTCTGCCATTTTTCCACTCTTGTTTTGTACCTCTCTGAGATGTTTTCTTGGAGATGACAATTCAATTTAGACATAAACTAAGAAATTCTAATAGCATTTCTTGTTCATTACAGTAACAAAGGCTTTTGCTGCTTCCAGTGGTGTAAAGTTTCACCACTATGAACAAAGCTTTATTGATGATTTATTTGACGCCAGACTAAAGCGAAGTCAAGATTCTTTGTAAGTAATCTGATTATGGTGTTGTCACTTCATATATATTAGAAATGTCATTGCGATGAGAATTGTTACAAAACAACAAAATATACTTAATACTCTTTTTTAGTTTTTTTTTAAATTTTAATTTAATTTTTAAATTGTCAGAAATCAAAAACAATATTCCAAATAAATGACAGAAATACAATGGAATCTTGTACATACTTCGAATGTTCCAGAGTTCGAATAATTCTTCTATGTTCAAACTGCACGTGAAGTGAAAAAATGCACTTGCTGTGTAAACACTATCTGTTGTGCACTATGTGTAATAGAATTAATAATAATAATATAAAATTATGAAATTTTATAGACAAAAAGTAAGTAAAAAAAATGACAAATAAAAATTATTTTTCTGAAACAGTTCTAAAAAATATCGGTATTTCTTGAAACAGAATATTTCTATTACAAAACACTAATTATTCATTTTCTTTTATTGCCTTCTTTTTAATGTTTTTTAAAATTTTTATATAAATGAGGATTAAAAAACACCAAAAAGGAAAGCAACAGAAGATTAGATGTAATTTCGGTGCTTTTATTCATTCTGCAGATATAAACAGAATTTCATACAAATGAAGGTTCCATTTCTGTCTGCGCCATTTATAGATTACTGTATTAGGGGCCATCCATAAATTATGTAAGATATTTTGGGGTGGGTGGGGGTCAAGGATTTTTTATGATTTCTCACTCGGGTAGGGGGGTAATAGATCTCGTATTACATAATATTTTTATTTTTATTTTTTGATCTCATTGAGTGGTGGCATTTTGAATTTGGCTTCAATTTGGTGGTTTCTATTAAGAATGCTCGTTGTCTCGTGTGACAAGATAGAGTAATAACACTAGAAGATTCACACTCTACACATTTTCTGTCATTGGAGAAAGGCCGTGTGGTAGTCTCTCTCTCTTGTTTTTTATTAGAATAAGTGCACCACTTCTATTGGTGTATAACACTAAGAATACATAAATCAAAATACATGATACAAAGTAAACATAAAATTAGTATTCGGCTTTTAGTGAAAACTAAAATGTAAAACTAGAAATTAGAAAGTCTTTTCTTCCATATTTTTTGAACATAATTGTAAAAAGCATCAACCAGTGGTTTCTGAACAAGCTTATCGAGTGAACATAGCCACCTGAAACCAAGCATAAAAATTTCTAATTTCAGAATAAGTCTATCTTGATCGTAAATTGGACAATGATAGATCATATGGTCGACGGTGTCTAGGTTTTCTGTACAGCAAAAGCAAGGAGCAGTTTCTGCCTGATTATACATCACCAGGTAGCTTCTAAAATTACCATGCTCAGTAAGTAGTTGAGCAGTAGCAAACATTAAATCTCTAAGTAGTGATGAGAACATTCAACACTAGGAAAATAAAGTTTTGTTATTTTACCAGTTTTACTGCTCAACTACTTTTACTGATTCCACTTTTGCATAGCATTGTCATGAATATAATTTTTAAGGCTGCTACATGAGAGATGTGAGTGTAGTCCAAGTGAGTGTCCTTTGCAGCTGACAGCCTCAAAGTCGGCTTTTTCATTTCCTAGTATACCAGTATGGCCAGGAACAAATATAAAAGTTATCTTATTTTATAAGATTTTTAATATTATGTGGGATATATGCGATTTTATTGCTATTGTAATTGGATAGAGCTTTTAGGACAGACAGAATCACTGTAAATGTTGATAGACAGAGTTTTGTTTGGTAGTGAAATGGCCCACTGAACAGCTGGTAGTCAGCATCATCTTCAGCTTGATAGATGGAGGTATCTGTACCTTCTAACATATTTTTGGCAAAATATGTCAGTTTGGAGGAAGATACAGATACTTGAGCTGACAAGAAGGGAGCTTTTGGACCCATCTGTGTAGTTATTAATGTCTGCGTGGTTATCCATGAAGGAAGCAGATGACACCAAATAACCTTGTTTACAGGATGAGATTAGAGATAGTACGGTAATTGCAATGTGGTAGCATGTGAACATCTGTAGATAGGAGTAGAGACCGTTATTGAGCCTTGACGTTTGTAGTTCTGATGCAGTAGTTTAGAACCTTTTCTACAATACATAGTGAAAAAGGAAGGAGCTCTGCTAGTATCAGAGAGGCATTAGTAAAAACAGTTCTGCAGCACTTTGAAATTCTGATGTCAAACTGGCTTTGAAGAGAGAGTAATTTACTTGCTACTGAATTTTTACTAGTTACATGACCACAGCCAGAGGCTGCGTAAAGTAGCATTGGTTGTATTGCCCCATTATATAGAGTTTTATAAGCTTTATTATTTAGTCCCCAGGTGCACCTAGCACATTTTAGCAGTATGTAGTTTATTTTCTTGGCCTTAGCCAAGATGTAATCAATATGGCAACAGAATGTGGTTTCTCTCTATTCTCTCTTGTTTTATTTTGTATGACGTTTCTGTTTACACGTGCACTAACTAGTCAATCTGGCAAAGTTTTTTGCGTCTTTTGCGAAAATTAATATTACGACATTGATTAATTAATTAATTAATGATAATAATAATAATAATATACTCATTGCATTCTTTGAAAATACTATGCAGCACTGGAGAACAACACTACATCTCAGGGTTAGTAACACTTCCATACAAACAAACGAAATATTCATCAGGCGAGAAATTTTTCAAGGAGATTCCTTGAGTCCTCTCTGGTTCTGCCTAGCCCTGAATCCATTATCCAACATGTTAAACAACACGCATTATGGCTACAATATCAGACATGAAAAAACAACACAGTTTACATCTCATGTACATGGATGACATAAAACTTTATGCATCCACACAGAAACAACTTCATCAACTCCTACAAATTACACATTCATACACCAAGGACATACAAATGAAGTTTGGCTTAGACAAATGCAAAAAACTACACATAGAAAAAGGAATCCTGAAGAAAGAAGATTTTGCACTTGGAAATGGAGACATTATTGAATTCATGGAAGAGGGCGAGTTCTACAAGTATTTAGGATTCCAAACTAACGGAACATACACAAATAAAACAAAGATTAATTAAAGAATACCAAAGGTTAAATGCCATTCTCAAAACACAGCTAAATGCAAAACACACAGTTAAAGCAATAAACACATATGTCATTTTGGTACTCACATACTCTTTTGGAGTTATACATTGGACTCACACAGATCTCGAGCAACTCCAAAGGAAAACAAGAACAACACTTACTAAGCATAAACAACGTCATCCTAAATCCGCTACAGAAAGATTAACCCTTCCACGTAAAGAAGGCGGACGTGGCCTGATTGACATAGTTAACCTTCACTACAAACAAATAAAGTCACTGCGAGAGTTTTTCTACAGGAAACAAGAAACATCACAATTACATAAAGCAGTAACTCTAGCAGACTCAAATA